CGGTAGAGATGGAAAACAGGGAGGGAGGCAGATGGGTGGATATAAACACAAAGGTGGCAGCAAGAGGGGGTTCTTTATTTTTTTTTGAGATGGAGTCTTGCTCTGTTGCCCAGGCTAGAGTGCAATGGTGCAATCTCAGCTCATTGCAACCTCCACCTCCTGGGTTCAAGCAATTCTCCTGCCTCAGCCTCCAGATTAGCTGGGATTACAGGCACCTGCCACTGCACCCAGCTAATTTTTGTATTTTTAAAAGAGTCGGGGTTTCATCATCTTGGCCAGGCTGGTCTTGAACTCCTGACCTCATGATCCACCCACCTCGACCTCCCAAAGTACTGGGATTACAGGCGTGAGCCACCACACCCGGACAGCATGAGGGAGTTCTTTTATGATAATGGAATAGTTCTGTATCTAGATTGTGGTGGTGGTCGCATGACTCTATGCATTAAATAAAACTACAAAGAACTACACACACATATACACACATTCACATGAATGCAAGTTTAAAAATGGTTAAAACTGAATAAAGTCTGTAGTCTAGATAACAGTAATGTAACAGTATCAATTTTTGGTTTTGACATTGGGTAAACACGGACATAAAAATGGCAACAACACACACTGGGGACTACTAAGGTGGAAGGAAAAGAAGGGGCAAGGGTTGAAAAAGTAACTATTGGGTACTACGCTCATTACCTGGGTGACAAGATCAATCATACTCCTAACTTCAGCATGTGAATATACCATGTAACGAGTGTACAAGTACTCCCTGAATCTAAAATAAATTATTTTTTTAAATCTGCTTTTGATGTTGTACTATAGCTATATACAAAGCCACCACTGAGAGAAGTTTACACAGGGTTCATAGGACTCTGCTATTTTTGTCTTTTCTATCGTTATTTCAAAATAAAAAGTTTAAATAAAAAATGGCCTTGGTTATGATAACCTGAATTTTGAACCCAGGTCTGCCTAACTCTAAACTTGTGCTACCGCCCTGTGTACTATAATGCTTGCAAAATCTGTTTTATTAAAACATACTAAACATGCATAATTTCCTAGAGAGAAGAATATAATACACAAGAAGTCCATCCTGGGTCATATTTAAAGAGGTTAAGGCAGTTCAAAACACACATTATTAGAAAGAAGTTTAAAATATGAAATCATTTCATTCATAGCAACTAAGACCAGGTGTTCCAATGTACTAATATGGTCATGAAAAGAGCACTTCAGAAGTCTAACAGGAGGTGACGGGGTTGCTTTGGCATAGTGACTAGGGGTACTGTTTTTCACTCCCCTTCCAGTAGAGGCAGTTCTATAGTTTCCTGCCATGTTGCCTTGTTCACTTGAAAAGTTAACAGCTGTTCCACTCCTTCCACACTAGGCAAACAAACTGCACAGTAGAAAGCTGTAAATAGAGCCATTACAGTGTATATTCACTTGGCATCCCTTTTTCATCTACCTGGGATCTTCCTGATGAGACTATTCTTGTGAGACGCAAAACATGGCCAAATTACAATCATCACAGCCAGAGAGGTGAGTTAAAATTACCAAATCATTTTGGGAGTAAGCAAAAGTTGCTGCCTGTCTTCATATAAATTCATCATACCCTTATATATTATGCAGCAGCTATGAAAAGTTATACATTTAGGAAAGAGCAAGATAATATTTAAAAGAACAACATAGTGATGACGTAGTTAATGATATTCTTCTGTTTTGCACCATTTTATTTTATTTCGATAATTACTCCCAAAATATTTTTATTAATTGATCAGATAAAACAAAAAACAGAGCCAATTGGTTCACTGTGTCAAGTTTCCAAGGCTGAATGTCCCATTAGTCAGAGATCTACAAATTCAATTCCATATATTAAATAATTCAATTTAACAAATACACAGTATTAAATATGTTTAAGAAGGAGATGACATTGCTTTAGGAGTTGACACAAAAAGAGAAAAATGGTACTAATGTGTGCCTTCCATGGGAAGATAGCAAAACCAAGAAAAGACCATTATTACTCTTATTAAGTGTGTGCTAACATGGCAAAATCAATGTTATCTTAACAACAAGAAGGAGAAAACCTGTGAGAGTGATCTTCAAGTATTTAAAAAGGAAATAGATATGATCAATTGTACTTCCTCAGGACAGAACTAGGAGTAATGGTTAGAAATTACAAGAACATACAGGAAGGCTGACAGTGTATTTATATACATATGTACATATATACATACATTTTTTAAAATTTAAAAGATATGTGTGTATAAATATATATTTTTATGTGTCTATATATATTGATGTATATGCCCTAAATTCTATAAATAAATGAGCTTTAACTTTTTTTTTTTTTGAGATGGAGTCTCACTCTGTCGCCAGGCTGGAGTGCAGTGGCATGATCTCGACTCACTGCAACCTCTGCCTCCCGGGTTCAAGCAATTCTCCTGACTCAGCCTCCCGAGTAGCTGGGACTTACAGGCATACACCACCAAGCCAGGCTCATTTTTGAATTTTTGGTAGAGATGGGGTTTCATCATGTTGCCAGGATGGTCTTGATTTCTTGACCTCATGATCCACCTGCCTTGGCCTCCCAAAATACTGGGATTACAGGCGTGAGCCACTGTACCCGGCAGAGCTTTAATTTTTAAAAATTTAAAAGATCATGTGTATATAGATACATATGTGTGTATATATAAAAGATCATATGTGTGTGTGTATATACATAAAAGATATATATACATATATACATATATCTTTTATGTATATATACACATATATATATTTTATATATACACACATAGATGTATATATAAAGATATATATACATATATATCTTTTATGTATATATACACACACATGATCTTTTATATATATATATACACACATGATCTTTTAAATGTTTTAAAATTAAAGTTCATATATTTATAGAATTTAGGGCATATACATTAAATTACTATCTATAGTGATATCTTATTAAAACTACTGGAGAGGACTTCCTGAGACCCTTTCTAAGGGCCTGTCTTCCCCCAGAGGCCCCACGGGACAGAGAAAGCATCTTGATACCCAGGGCCACAAATGAACAATCCACAGATACTACATATAAGGGAGACCTGTATCCTATGAGGTAACCTGAGGATGAAAGAGTGAGTCATATTGGGTGGCGATTAAACGACCCAGCCTCCTCTCTCAAGAAGACTTTACATTTTAGACAGGCAGCAGAAGCAGCAAAGGAGAAAGGAAGTGCAGAAGCATCAGAAGAAAGGGAGAAAACTGAGCCTTGATTACGGCAAAGCAGCTATGGTACAAAGCAACTGACATCCAATCCCTTTTTTTTTTTTTTTTTTTTTTTTGAGACAGGGTCTCAATCTGTCACCCAAGCTGGAGTGCAGTGGTATGATCTCAGCTCACTGCAACCTCCACCTCCCAGGTTCAAGCGATTCTCCTGCCTCAGCTTCCCGAGTAGCTGGGACTACAGGCGCTCGCCATCATACCTGGCTAATTTTTGTATTTTTTGGTAGAGATGGGATTCACCATGTTGGCCAGGCTGGTCTTGAATTCCTGACTTCAAGTGATCTACCCACTTCGACCTCCCCAAGTGCTGGGATTACAGGCATGAGTCACCGTGCCCCGCTGTAACTGATACCCAATTCTAAGGGAAAAACAAGCAGACCAGTATTCTGAACTTTCTGCTCAATTGCCAGAGCTGTACAATATCCTTGAACAATGTTTCAGTTCTCCATTAGACCCTTCTGTTCGCCTGCCAATGCATTTTCCTACTATCCTGTGTGAATTTATTATCACCACAGGGAACCTGGAGATAACACTGAACTTCACCTGAACTCTGTACTCTTGGAAAGAGTCACAGTCAAGAAATTACCCCTATCCTTTTGTGTTCTGGGAACAGGCTTACTAGATAAAACTAACAGATGACCATCTTGCAGCCAAATGACAAGGCCAGAAACGGACTTTCCAAATTCCCATTCTCTGTCTCACACATGATTAGCCAAACTCTTTGTCCCCATTTGCCATTCTGGTTGGTCAATGCCCACCAACGACCCGACCAAACTTTAGTCAGGCTCCTCTCCTTCCTTGAAACCCCTGAACTTTGGTCCACCCTGAAGCAATGGAAGGTGAGCCACCCCTCCTTAACGGCCATTCCCCAGAACCAGCTGACCTCAGGGAAAAACATCCCCGATAACACAATATTCTGCCTCCCGCTATTGGAATCATCCTCTTCCTTTTATTGTAATAGTCTATTTAGATAAAGCCTCTCCTTACCTAAGTCCAGATTTGTTTTTAATTGACACTTGCAACCTTCAAACAGCCTAACTTTACAAAACATAAATTAAAACCATTAAATATCCTCTCATTTACAATATTTTTATAGAATCACAGCTATTACATCTTTTTTGATATATAGCCACATAATAAAATATAACATCTGTTAAATTTTTCCCAATGTTGAAATAGGAAAATTAACTAGACAATTAATTATTAAAAATAATTAAAATATGCTGGTTAAAATTAAGCATTTCATGATGAAAATGAAAAGCGGAACCCAAACAACTTAAGTTTTGAAATCACTGAAATAATTTCTTTATATTTTCACTTTTGTCTTACACAGTTCAATCATTGCCTGACAACCTATTCAAAAGAAGAAAAAAAGCTTGATGAGCTTGTATTTATGTTGGCCAACTATTAATTCAAGCTATGAAAGTAACAATAATATATATACTTGCTAAAGTTCTTTCTGAAGAACTTTCTGCAACAATCTGTCACTTTTCCAGTGGTCCAGTATCCTAATCTCAACCTAGCACCTTTCACCGTAGATGCACATTAATTGCAGAACATACAAAAACACAGATCTCCAATGTGTTTAATCAAGAAGAGAAACAGAATAGACATTTATACTTCAGAAAGCATTTTTTTCTAAAATACTTACATTCTTAATTATAAAAAATATTTTGAAATAATACTTATATAACAAACACATCACAGAAAAATCACCTACTCACCAGCATTGACTATAGCATCTACCTCTAGCAATGTGATGTCGCCTCTATAGAGAGAAACTTTTTCAGTCAAACTTTTCTTCACCTGGGATGTTTCCTGAGTATTTTCTTCTGTAATAGAAAATGGATATATATCAATAATAATATTATTAATTAATTTAATCAAGATGATTTTTTACTCAAGACTACTACAAGACCCAATATGTGTCATGCTCTACTACAAAAAACAAGTGGAAATAAGAGCGTAAGTACGAGGGGTGTGGATTATTCTCTATTTTGTAATTCTCACAACAAACACACTATCACATACAAAATGGACATACAATAAAATTTTAGTATGTTATATTGGTCAACAAGAAATTCAATACTTATGGGTAATTTTAGTAAAATATCCATTCTAAAATAAAATTACATACCATTACATTCACAAGGAGGTAAGGAAAAGATGTTTCAATCTTTAATGTTAGGTAAGAAGAACTTACCTAAAAGGCATCCTTGATAAGAATATATATATATATATTTGAGCAAAAAAAATTTAGGTTCAGCTCTTTGCTACTTCTTTTTTTTTTTTTTTTTTTTTTTTGGCGAGGGAATCTCACTCTATTACCCAGGCTAGAGTGCTACAGTGGTGTGATCTCGGCTCACTGCAACTCCTGTCTCCCGGGTTCAATAGATTCTCCTGCCTCAGCCCCGCCCACCTCTCCCCCACTACCCAAGTAGCTGGAATTACAGGCATAAGCCACCATGCCATGCCCATCTAATTTTTGTATTTTTAGTAGAGACGAGGTTTCGCAACGTTGGCCAGGCTGGTTTTGAACTTCCAACCTCAAGTGATCTGCCCACCTCGGCCTCCCAAAGTGCTGGTATTAAAGGCATGAGCCACCATGTCTGGCCAGCTCTTTTGTACTTCTAAGTAACAAACTATTACTCCGGATAGGATATTTCAAGGAGAATATTTGAATTTGTTAAACTGCTCCTTTCTTATCAAATTGTATTTTACCTTTTGCTCTAGAGGGCGCTACTAGATTTTAAAAAGAAAGCTTTACCCCAACACACAAGAGCCAGCAAGCAGGTATATTTAAAACAAGCCAAAAACATTACATTCTGAAATCTGATTTTTTTAAAATGATTTAGAGCAAGACTATAAACTTGAATTTCCATTTATTTTTAACAAATAGTAATAAGATAAATTAAACCTAGTAAACAAAGCTGTGCAAAATAAATGTTTTAAAATATTTTAAATTGCTATTCATAAAAAGGTTTTTAATATACTTATAGGAAAGCTGATCTGCATTTTTTAATTTATTTATATTAAAGTATGATATGTGTAAATCTTTCATGCAAGGAGATACTGCTATTCACTCACTGAGATACTCTGATTTTTAAAAGTATTTATGATATGTGTAAATTTTTAATGCGAGGAGATACTGCTATTCACTCATTGAGATACTCTCATAAGCATGCAATTTTGAGACATCTGGGGGATTAGAGGTGATAGGTTATGAGTCACCTAAATTGTCTTTGGACCACAATAGTCCCCCCACCAAAAAGAAAATTTGGCCAAGACTAGAAAATAACCTGTGACCATAAAAATGATCCTTTCTCTGTCTATAAAGCATTCCCTTCTTAGCAACCACTTCTCTCCCAGAAGTATTCTAATCAAAATACTCAACTGGTTGTAGTAATAATGAGAAGGAGAATAATGTGGGCAACTTGTATGTTAATGAAGTAGAGAAAAACTTTATGAAACCTCAAAATATAAAATACTTATACTTGAGTTGACCTCTCAGGGACTCCTACAGTACTATTTATCTCTGCCAGATAGTGGGTCAGAGCAGACTTTACTACCAGACTGACTCTGTTAAAATCCTAATTCTGCCAATAAACAGCTGGGTGAGTTTGAATAAGTTATTTCCTCCATGCATCAGTTTGTAAACTACTGGCTCCTTCACAGTTAACATGAGTTCATGACACTTAAAATGTTTGCCTCATAGTAAGTGATCAACAAACACAATCTTTTTTTTTTTTTTTTTTTTTGAGATGGAGTTTCGTTCTTGTTGCCCAGGCTGGAGTGCAATGGCGTGGTCTCAGTTCACTGCAACCTCCATCTCCCAGGTTCAAGCGATTCTCGTGCCTCAGCCTCCCAAGTAACTGGGATTAGAGGCACCCGCCACCACGTCCAGCTCTTTTTAGCAGAGATGGGGTTTCACCATGTTGGCCAGGCTGGTCTTGAACTCCTGACTTCAGTTGATCCACCCACCTCAGCCTCCCAAAGTGCTGGGATTACAGGCGCGAGCCACCGCGCCTGGCCAACACTACCTTTTTTTTTTTTTTTTTTTTTAACAAAGGTGACAAATATTATTTCAGCATCCATGGACCACAATAGTAAGATATTTTTTCAAAATATTTTATTTTAAATAAAATATCAATCTATTTATTATTCCTTATCAGTGAAAGAGACTATATTTTGTTTGTGCTCTTATCAAATTGTCAACACCTGACCCAATGACAAAGACTCTGAGCCACAAGTCCTTCAGTTCCACATCCAACTAGTTTCTATTGTGATTAACTAAATTATAAACTCTTGATTCTCCATTAATGATTATTAAATGACAATAAACATTTGGTGGCTTTGTCAGAGAAAAATGCATATTTAGACTATTGTGAACCTAGAAATTATAAAGATTCATCACTGAAGATGTTTCAGAACTCTATCAGGCATTAAATTGACAGACTTATAAATGAATGCAGAAAGACCATTTCAACTTGGGAGACAGAGTAAATAGATTTCCTAATTATTCTTTAACTGGTTTTAGCTCTAAAAAGTATTATTTCATTTTCTCATGAAGCATTATGTAAGTAACATCACATCTGTAGTGATAGAATTTTTAAACATATGAGACAAGTCATGTGTTTCTTTCTCAAAAGTAATTATAAAAGAAAGGTATGGGAGGGCTAGGCACGGTGGCTCGCACCTGTAATCCCAACACTTTCAGAGGCTGAGGTGGGCAGATCACAAGGTCAGGAGATCAAGACCATCCTGGCTAACACAGTGAAAATCTGTCTCTACTAAAAAAAAAAAAAAAAAAAAAAAAAGAGCCAGGCATGGTGGCACGTGCCTGTAGTCCTAGCTACTTGGGAGGTTGAGGCAGGAGAATCACTGGAACCTGGGAGGTGGAGGTTGCAGTGAGCCGAGATCGTGCCACTGCACTCCAGCCTGGGCGACAGATGGAGACTACGTCTCAAAAAAAAAAAAGAAAAAGAAAGGTATGGGAAAACATTGACGTTTAAACCATTTTTATACCACCGTTCAGTTTTTTAAAAAGAAACTCTAATCTGTCATCTGCAAATTTTTTAAATGGAATATTTTGAGACTGAAGTGAAAGTTCAAACAATTCAACATAATGAATAAACATACTGCTGTGACATGTCACTCAAGTAAGTTACTCAAAATAGTCTTTACTTGAATGTCAGCATTATGAGGGAATATTTTAATTGTCTCTCATTTTAAAAACTAACAGGAGACTCTTCTTTCCTCAACAGTCAGATTATACTTACGGCCCAATTCCTCACATAGTATGCGAAAAAGGTATGTACATACTTAAAGGCTACAGCTTGATAGGACTAATAATTAGCAGTATTTCCTTCAACAATAAATCAAAACCTAATGGGAGTATTTTTTGACCACCAACTATTCTTTGCAAATACAATATAAATTACCACTTAGAGGCCACCTCTTTTATTTGCATAGCAATGTGTTGCCTTCCTCTTCACACACAAAGCTCAATGTATCTTTTTCCGTACCCTAGGTTTTCAGTAATAAATAGGACAAAAAGTTGTCAAGTATATCTCCCTAATGGACATTCTCTACGTACACAAAGCACCAACTCAGGCTTTGTGCATCACTGACAACTGCAAGTTGAAATATCTGTCAGTATAAACACGTGACAGTAATTGCTCTTCCGTATCGTATACTTTTGATAATGTCAAAGAAAACCGGAACTGGAAGTGATTAAAGCAGTAAAAACAGATTTTATTCAGTAACTATTACAGTAAAGGAAAGAGACCTCAGTATAGAACTGGGATCAATTCCAAATACAGCAATAACAAGCAGGGATTTATAGCCAAGGAGCAGGATGGAGGTGAGTGGATGGAAAATAACTAAGAGGAAACATAGGGGGATTCTGGTTATAGGGCCTTAACAGTATTCTTGCTGAAGGCAAGCCAGGGTGATCACATATTGCCTGGTGGGGGATGAGCAATTTGACCAAGTATCAAGGGTGATCTGATATCAAGGGTAAGACATTTTCTCTTAACTAACTTAGTAAGATTCTTGCTGAAACTGGGCTATGCAAGTATTGCAAGAATGGGGCCTAGACACAAAAAAGACTTAGAGAAACCTGACTAAACTTTGCTTAAGAAGACAGTGTTAACTGTCCCCTTCTGGGAAAAAGACAATTTTAGTTCTCAGTGATGCCAAGTGAGGAAGGTGGGGAGAAATTAAAAATGTTAGTCTGGAGACTTGTAGTAGGCTATCAGAGGAAACTAGAAGAATTGAGAAAATGTATAAGATGGCAGGATCCAATAAGCCAGGTACCAGGCCAGTTTCCCAAGAGGACTTTGTAAGCATTGACTCCATAAAGTCTTTGTGCCTTAAAAGTGTCTGGATGTATCTGATTCAATGCATCATTCTCAAATATTCAAAAATTCTCAAACATCCCAGTCAAAGCCTTGGTTATAAACTGATTTTTCCAAGTATGTCCTGTTACAAGGAAGACAGAATCTTATTGAACTTATCCAAATAATCGTAATGCCATTGAGAATTAGAATACTCAATAAGTGTTTCTGAATTCTGGAGGGATCAGGTTGGAAGAAAATATGTTTCATCTCTTTTTACAAAAGCATAACCTACTAAATTGTCATGAGTTACAGAAAGCATTAGAAAACAGGAAAAAAAATGCTCCTTAAATAAGACATTAAAGAATGAGAAATATTCCAAAACAATAACCATAAAAATTATCTTATTTATTAGTTTATTCTGCCCCATGTAATTGAATCTTCTGCTTTATCCCGGGTTAGCAGTTTTATGAGTCAGCTTCTCTAGTAGCTGC